GCACCAACGCCCTTGACAACCTGGTTTCGGCTTCCAGGCGTTCTTCATCCTCTGCTGCGCCACCACCACCCCATCCAGCCAGCACCACGCCTCCCACCCCAGCCTCACAATCCACCTCAGCCACTTCCATATCATCACCCATGGCCGAACCAACCACAGCCGATTTGGCCAAGCTCATCCAGTCCCTGACCGCCTCCATCAGCGACCTCCAAGGGCAGGTCGCCGCGCTGCAGCAGGCGCAGCCACCAGCGGGCTCCTTAGGATCACGGGGCTCAGGCCATGGCGAAAACCACGGCGATTGTCCGCCCCGGTTCCAGAAGCTGGACTTCCCCAAGTTCGACGGCAAGTCTGACCCGCTGGCGTTCATCAACCGCTGCGAGCCCTACTTCCATCAACAACGCATCGCGGCTGAGGAGCAGGTTTGGATGGCCTCCTACAACCTGGAAGGAGGCGCCCAGATGTGTTTCCTCCAAGTCCAACAAGATGAAGGCACTCCGTCCTGGCGCCGCTTCACCGAGCTCCTCAACCTCCGCTTCGGTCCTCCAATCCGCTCCAACCCGCTGGGTGAGCTCATGGCCTGCAAGCGAACCGGCTCCGTCAGCAACTACCAGGACTGGTTCGAGGCCCTGCTCCCCCGCGTGGGTGCGCTTTCAGAGGCGCAGCGGGTCCAAGCCTTCACCCCCGGGCTTCAGCCGCCTCTCAGCCTCGACGTCGAGGTCCACAACCCCCAGTCGCTCGTCGTCGCCATGAGCCTCGCTCGCAAGCTGGAGCTCTGCGAGCAAAGTAGGGTCATGTCAGTGTATGAGATTGAAACTACGAAGTAATCACATGGCCAACTATGTACAGTTGAGCATACCTTTACGAGCCAGAAAACTAAGTGAAAAGACTAGGCATCGGACTTGGCACTTAACAGGCATTGAACTTCAGATAGTGGATTTTATGTTTTAGAGAAATGGTAACAAGTAAAGATCTTTTGACTTGAGTCAGCAAGTGTCTCATTTTTCACCTGAAATGCTCTCTGGCTGTGCATGTCCTCTAAACCATTAATGCCATTATCTTTTACCTTTCAAGTTTTCATTTGCTAGTTTGCTGTCCACAGATTATTTTGGTCCAGGTTGTTACTTTTATAGATTCAATAACTGTGATCCAAATATCATCACCTGGTGTTGTGTTTTTTTTTTAAAAAAAAAAAGCAGTGCACCAATATATATTGTTGCTCAGATTTAATTTGTGTACACATTTGCCAGAGCTGGGTATGGATCAGAAAGTGAAGTAGATGATGAAGCAGCAATGGTAAGCCTGCCAAGTGATGTTGACAAATTAAACCGGGCATCGAGAAAAAGCGCTGTCAGACTCCAGGAGATTGGACCAAGGATGACTATGCTCCTAGTTAAAGTTGAAGCTGGGCTATGTTCAGGAGATGTCTTATACCCATGGCCTGGTGAGTTCCACTTAATGCTTCGAACACCTTAATTTATTACTAAGTATTGATGCATCTTTGTTTTTTTGGACTGATTTCCTTTTTATGATACAGTGGAAAAGGAATTGGTGGGAAAGAAAGGAACAGAAACTGGGGAAGAAGTAGAAGGACAAGAAGATGAGGATAATGCTGAAGCTACAGATGAATCCGAGGATGAGATGGAGGTATAGGATTTTAGATGTATATCAGACAATGCAAAGGCAGACGACGCAGGTGTTTTGACAGTTTTGGATGTTTCATGCTGAAACCAACGGGCCTTGTGCCCTACAACGTGATGCATTCATGCCAATTTTGTGACTGAAGGTGCATTGCATTCCTTGCCACAAAGTGTAAACATTGTTTTGCGGATGCTTACCTCTTGAGTTACGACTCAGGTTTGGGAATAGTTTTTGGTTCGCAGTCTAAGATTTCTTATTCTTGTCGGGGTTTCAGAGGGATGGACATGATGCCCTACACAACTACGAAGGCTTTGTTTGGTTATGCTGCTACTGGTAGTGGGTTGGCATGATGTTCTTCCTCATGTTTGTAGGGTTTGTTATGGCCATATGGGTGCTATTTTGTTTTTCCCCCAGTGGGCCCTTTTTTCTGTATTCTCTGATGAGTAGGCTGAGTGGGGTGCTTTAGGGTCTGTCTGGGACAAGACCAAATTTAGCTCTGCTTAACTCCACCATGGAGCACCTTTTAGTATCTAGGATCGATGTTACAGAGGGATGGAGATATTGATGTGAAAGTTAGCTATAGAATTAAAGCAGGGTGGACCAAGTGGCGACAATCTTCTGGCATTCTCTGTGACAAAGGGTACCACAAATGCTAAAAGATAAGTTTTATAGAACGGCGATTAGACCGGCTATGCTGTATGGAGCAGAATGTCGGTCTAAAAAGATTCGATATGTTCAAGTGTTGCAAAAATACATATGCTGCGATGGATTTGTGGTAAAACAAGAATTGACCGAGTTCGGAACGATGATATACGTGATCGTCTAAGTGTAGCATCAATTGAAGAAAATCTTGTCCAATATTGGTTGAGGTGGGTTGACCATATCTAAATAAGACCTCCAAAGGTACTAGTGCACTGTGGAGTCCTAAGCCAAGCTAATAATATAAGGAGAGGTAAAGGTAGACCGAAATTGACATGGGGGAGGTAATAAAAAGAGATTTGAAAGCTTGGAATATATCTAGAGATCTATGTTTGAATAAGAATGCTTGAAAATCAGCTATTGAAGTGGCTGAACCATGACCTGGGGCTTTTGGTGGGTTTCAACTCTAGCCTACTCAACTTATTTGGGACTAAAAGACTATGTTATTGTTGTTGTATTAGATGTGCTCATAAGTTTGAGTTCATCTTTTTTTATAGAGCAGAGTTCGTTTGTTTGGCTAACGAAATTGAAAGTAGAGCTGAAAAAGATAGAACGTTAGCGGTCCTAAACAAGCTCTTTGTTTCAGTTTGGTGACCTGGCAGGTGTTTAGCCGCCATGTATCCTTATATTTTACCCCGAGAAGCGCTAGGGGCGACGAGGCAAGGTCACATGCTGTATTTTACCCCGAGAAGCGCTAGGGGCGACGAGGCAAGCTTACATGCTGGAGGCCTGAAACTGAGAGGATCCGAGATCTGAAATGCCATGCTAATTGTCGGCTGATCTGACAGGTAAGGACTGCTTGTGCAGGCAACGAGTAGGTTCTCAAGATTCTCAAGCTCGAAGGCCTGAACTGTCCTCACTCCTCGTCCTTGTTTAGTTTCTCTAAACTTCTGAAAAGTGCACTATGCAAAAAGAAGATTTTTCGCCACATCAAACTTATGGTACATGTATGGAGTACTAAATGTAGACGAAATCAAAAACTAATTGCACAGTTTGCTTTAACTTTGCGAGACGAATCTTTTGAGCCTAATTAGTCAATGTTTGGATAATAATTCATAAATACAAACAAAATATTACAGTAGAAAATCTTCACTGTGCAAAGTTTACCTGCCCAACTAAACACCGCCCTCATCAGAATTAAGAAATGCATGCAGTGTAACCTTACGATTCAGGGTGCATTGCAGATTTGCATTGTACTCCTACTTCACACGAGAGAATTTGGAATGAGCCATCGCCCGGCCACTTCTCTTGGTCGTGTGAGGGGTGGGCGTGGACTCGCAACTCGCACCGCCCTCGGCTCACACTCTCACTGCGGGTGGGCTACCTGCACGGCCGCACCACCAACCTGTCCCCCCTTTCCCCTCGTCCCCGTCCCTAACCCTGGGCAAAAATAACCGAAAACCGAGAACCGAACCGAAATAACCGAAACCGAAACCGAATTAACCGAAACCGAAAATTTCGGTTCCTAGTTCGATTCCCAGTTCTCAGGAACCGAAATAATGTCGGGTAATTCGGTTTCAGACCTTGGTTAACCGAACAAAACCGAAGAACCGACTTAAAAGGCTCGCCTCGGGTTTATATCCCGCCCAAGCAGGCCCAAAGCGAGGCCCTTCAAGTATAAATCTGAAATTTTAGGGTTTCTTGACTCCTCCTCTCTCTCTCTGTCACCACCGCACGCCTCCTCTCCCACCGAGCCGCCTCTCCCTTCCGCCTTCTTCCCGAGACCGAGATAAAGCGCGCCTCTCTCGGTCTCCTCCTCCGTCCTCCCCCTCTCCTCTCCACTCTGCTTCCCTCTCCTTCTCCCTCTCTTTCTCTCCCTCTCCATTTCCAGAGCACAGGCGCGTCCCCTTCAGCAACAAGGCTGACGCGGGGCGTGGCCCTCTTCTTCGCACAAAGTGACAGCAGCAGTGGGCACAGCACCTCCTCCAATGACGACGACGGCGGCTTTGGGGTCTGTGCCCCTCCTTCAACAGCGGAGGAACAGCCAGCGGCCCTCCCACACCACCCCGGCACCTCCACCACCGTCCCATGGCTAGATCTAGTGGAGGGCGACCAGATCTATGGTGGGCCTACCCCCGGCGGTGGATCTAGGCTCGGCGCGCTTCCCGACAACGGATCCACCGCCTCCCCTGTCCCCGGTCCTCCCCTGTCGCCGGTGTCTGCTCTGGAGGTCGAGGCCGAGTCCGGTGCGTGCCAGCTGCCTTGGAGGCCGGATCTGGACGAAGGGGCGACTGCTGCCGTTTTTTTTTTCATTTTTCCCTTTTCTTCCCTTCTGTTTCGTTGATGTAACGTATGGCTCGATTAGTTCGGTTCTAACCGAAACCGAACCGAACTAACCGAGACCGAATTTCCTCGGTTCCAAGTTCTCTAGCTAACCAATCGGTTTCTAAGTTTTGTGCTAATCAAATTTCATAAATAACTGAGGAACCGAACCGATCGGTTCCGGTTAACCGAATGCCCACCGTGACCCGTCCCCGTCCCCGTGTGATCTACCAGTACCACTCAGTCCTCCCACGTGACTCTCTCACTCTCATTCAGTCGTTCACACTCACACCCCACCACCCCACCCGCTCTCTCTACAACTCTTCACTTCTCAGTCTCCCACCACCACCACTGACCACCACCACCGCGAGAGCGAGCGACAGAGAGAGCAGGCAGCGGCAATGGCTGGCGCTGGGGACGAGTACTACTACGGCGGGCCGGGCCCACGCGGCGCGCCTCACGGCCTGCTGCTGGCGGTGGTGGTGGGCCTCGTGGTGGCGGGCCCGCTGTTCCTGGGCGACGGCGGCGAGGCGCTGACGGAGGCCGTGGCGGAGCTGCTGAGCCCCGTGGGGCTCCTGCTCCTCCCCGTGTGCCTGCTGTTCCTCATCCGCCTCCTCTCCTCCGACCGCGGGGCCGCGGCGCTCGCCGACGTCTTCGCCTTCGGCGGGTCCCCCGACGCCGTCCACCGCGTGGGAGGCTCCCCCGTCGGCGTCGCGTTCATCCTCCTCCTCATCCTCGCGCTGCTCTACTACCGCTCCTCGCTCTTCGGCGGCGACGGCGGCGACGACGAGTAGGAGCCGCGGCGGTTGCAGGCGGTAGTCGGCGCGATCTCCGGCCCCGGCCGGTCTGTTGGGTTGTTTTGTGTAATGCGAGGTTTGCGAGGGGCGTGGGTGCAAAAACGCGTGTGTAAATCGTGTGGAGCACTGGAGTAAATTAATCTACTGTTTGCTTCGTCGGTTTGTGATGAGGGGCTCCTGAAGCTTCTGTGCCGCGTCGTCGGGCCATGTGCGTGCTTGTACTCTTCTCTTTCCCTGCCTGCCTCTCGTCGGTGGCTCGGTGGCCTCTGTCTGTTTCGCTCCGCCACTCTCTACCCCAGAACCAGAAGCAGTCAACGCGTACACACTGTACGAGTGGACTAGTAGGACTACTGATCCCGTCATCCTGAACGCCAATGCGTGCCCGTAAATTTCATGTTTTACCTTTGCAGTACAAACAAGCAAGGAGCCGAGGACCGCTCCTATAAAGTGCGCCTCAGAATTTCAATAAAAAAACAAAAAGAAAGCTGTAAAGTTGCGCTGGTCGGTTCCTCCGTGGGCTCATGTAGTCATGTCTATAGCCGTCCATCAGGGCGGTGTATAATCCCGGTTTTTTGCGCAACCAAAAATTATGATTTTTTTTTAATTCTGCAACGTGTGAAGCATACAGTCGCCAGATCAAACCTAAACCTTGTGCACTACATATAATTTAAATGCATAATTGAGTGCCTTGTGTTGGTTCTGGTTAGGATAGTCCCAATGAAAAAAACTAGTAGTTTCTGTAACATAGGATACCACATCAAAAAAGTACTGCTTTCCAACCTTTGATTTCTATGAGTAATAATTATTTTCTCTTTCTCTCTTCCAACTCTATCTTCCTCCTTCAATGGGAGTGCGGCACGAGTCCCTAAAAACTGGTGGTTTCTCTCCAATGGCGATTTCATGGTTTATTGGTGCATTGGGTCAAGAGAAGACCTGATTTCTTCATGAGGAAACCATTTCTAGGATTTTTGCTCTCTTTCTTCATTAATTACGTTGTCATGCCAGCGTTTTATCTACGTAACAGGTCATTTAATGATGATAGTACATCATTGGGACTGTCATTAGAGTTTATTGTTTGATCGTAGGAATAATTAGCTGCACACGCATCCCTGGCCATCGCCCTGTCCACTGCCCCCACACGTTCTTCCTTGGGGATTGGGGAAACGCCGCAGCCTGACGCCCACGGCCACGTCTCACGGGCGCACTCGACACACTGACACCACACAGCCACGCCACCTCGGCACGGAACCACCGGCTCGCGCAGCACGGCGATGCCACGCAACTCGCGGCCGCCATGGCCTCGCCGCCGCCAATGCACTTCTGCCTTCCGGGAACACACAGCCCCATGCCGCCCGGCTCATTCGACTGTTCGTCTGAGCACCTGCACAGCCACACGGCCCCGCACGGCCTTGCACGAACATGGCGCCCTGCCCTTCCTTACCGACCGGCGCCACGTAGCGGCCTTGCTGTGCGCGACGTGTGGGCACGTCCATGACCGTCGGATAGTCGTCGTCTTCCCAGAGCCAGACCCATCCCGGCGAACTGGCCGTGTGCTTCCTGCCCAGCCCCGGTGTAGTGACCCGCACGGAACACCACAAGCACGTCGGTGCGCGAGCACTCGAGTGCGGCACCGCCGCTGCTTGCTGCTCGCGTCCGCAACTCGCGAGCACGGGCTTGGCTCACGCGCGGGTGCACCACCATGGCGATGACACGCGACCAAGCCCCCGACCTCACCATCGCACTCGTGACCATGGCCACCGCTCGAACACACGTACACCCGCACGCGGTGTTGCGCGGCCGTGCTCCAGCACGCCGTCATGACCGCGACACACACGTACAGCACGACAGTAGCCGCCCTCCGCCTTGCCAACATCCGCACGAGCTCCGATCATGCTACCCCACGTCGGCGTCTACCCGCCACCCTCGCTATCCAATGCCTGCGTACAGACGCCACGACCACGACGACGCCGACCGCCCATGACCATGCCGTCGACCTCGCCCCAGCACCTACGTGCTCGCGCAGCACGCACCCTCACGACAAACCTCCACTTGACATCCTCGCTTTTACGAACCCTAACTTGGCGTAGCTTCGATAGTCCAACCCCTGTAGCCATGAGAACCCGGCGCCAACCTAAGGGGATGCCCACCATGTGTCCATGTCGGACATAGTCTCACCATGGCACCTAACCTAGATCCGAAGCCACCTTGCGCCTATCAAAGCGTAGGTCGAAGCCATAGGCTCACAGTCATGTATGAGTGAATTTGGTTCTTCTTTGTTCTTTTTGCTCTTTGTGATAACCTGTAGTTTATAGGGATACCGGTTGGACGTGCGTTAGCTCTGGAGGTGGACCTGTGGAGTGGAGCTAACCTTAGAGGTGGAGGCCCGCCCCGATCGGCTACACCGACTGGCGGAGACTTGTACCACTACTACCTCGACATCATAGGTGTCATGGCAACACCTTTTACTTAGAGAATCCCATTAGGCTTGCAAAGTAGAACTGCTAGCACTTTACATTTATTCCTTTGCTAGAATATGTTATGCATGCTATTGCCTGAGCCTTTATTACCTTGATTGAAACCACCTCGCCCTGACTACCCAGCTCCGCACTCGCACTTATATATGTCTGTCTGTTTGCTTGCATTTACCCCATCATAATTACATATATTCCTTGTTATGTGATGTGTGATGGATGTCTGGATGATGTGGTTGGTGGATGGGGTTTTAGCCGTGAGGCACCCCCATGAGGTGTGGTTTGATACGCAACGGGAGCGTTTACTCCCGAGTGGGTGGTGGAGATGTGAGGAGTTATGGAGATACTTCCTTGCCCTTGACCTGATTCTTGGAGATACTGGCTAGAGCGAGAGGTTGTTGTGGTGTACGGAGTGCACCAATGGTAGTTCCTGTGGCGGGAACATAGAATCTCGAAGGGATTGATCGTCCTCGAGGGACTTTGGGATGAGGAGTTTGGGGGAATGGATAGACCACCTCTGTGGGGTGAGTCTAGTGCTCTGAGGGCACACGGATTGATGGAAGGTGCTCGTTCTGGCCAAATTAAGGACTGAGTAGGTTGCGGCCATAAATCACGGGGTTACTTCCATGCACACAACATGCTTACATGGGTGCGGCCTGTTGCCCAAAGTAGTGCATGCGACCATCAGTCTCTGTGGGAGATAGCAGACACGCGGTCTGTGGGTTGTGTCAGGAGGGCGGAGGTTACTCCGTACTACCTCGATGACACGACCCCAGCTTATATAGTGGTGTCTATATATCTTCACTCTGGTTGGTGGGCAGGACTGGTGTTAGTTGGCCTAGTTTGCGGGGGCGGTGTTCATCGTCGACGTTGATACGTTGATTGTGTTCATGTGGGGGAAATCTATACGTATAGCCACGGTCTCGGATGTGACCACTTACCTGTGTGTAGGTTCAGCTCACTAGCTTCTCTTATGCTTTGCTTTTCTCCCCCTGAAGCTAAGGTACGGCTTGAGGCCGATTAGACGAGGGGCGTGCGGAGGCTGCCTCGTCGACTAGACTAAGAGGCTGAGGGTGTTGTGAGGGATGATGAGTGGTGACTTGTGATGATGATGAGTGGATGGTGAGAATGAGATTATGGTTTGGGATTTGAGAAGATTTATTACTACTTTTGATGCTTTCTGCATGAGCTAAGAATGCAAACCACAACCAAACTATTAGGATCGTCAGATCCCTTTATTTTCTATTTTTCACTAAAGCTCATCAGTGCTGACTATGGCCTGCACACATCTGGCGGTGTGTAGATTTCTTGACTTGCAGTGATGTGGAGATTGGTAGTTGGTTTCGTTCTACACTCAAGGATGCCTCTAGGAGGGAGTTCGCCAAGCTTCGCATCCACGATGGAATAACGGTATTTTGTTTATTGTTAGCTGTATCCAAAATATTGTAATATAATTATTTGTGTACTCTGATGTTGTATGACTCTATAATTGACTGTAAATTAGACGCCTGTGATAGCTGAGGTATCTTGGGACTATCACAGAGGGGCAAAAGAATTATGATTTCTATTTTAGAAATCCTGGTCTACTACAGCCGGCCGGGTCCGGCACAGCATGGGCACGGGCCAGGCACGGTCTGCAGGGGGTCGGGCCAGCACGGCACATCGTGCCTCCTGTGCCATGCCTCCACGGGCCTCGTGCCTGGCCTTTGGACCAAGCATGGTACTACGTGCCAAAATTCATGCCGTGCCGGTCCGCTAAGCATGGCCAAATCATCGTGCCGTGCCAGCCCATGGCCTGGTGGCCTTAACACACCTCAAAATATTGCTCCCATCACAATCTTCTCAATTTTCACAGTTGCACAGATTTATTCACACTCGTTCATAAGCTATTAGCCAAACTCATTCACAATCACAAATATAACATTCCAAACTTATCACAGATTCTAAGTTATAACTTCTAACCAAAAGCACCAAAGGAGACAAGACAATTAAGATAAATGAGTTGTTTGTGCAATGCTGCCTCATTAAAAACCTTTCTAGGTAAAACTCACCCTTGTGAGAAACCCTAGAAAGGGAAAAATAGAGCATCACAACTCTTAATTAAGTCTTCCATCATTGTTCAAAGGTCTCACAGATCATAAGATACAGATTAGAGATAACTGAGATAACAGATAACTCTCTCCTCTCAACTCTCAAGTCTCACACTAAGTACCAGTAGTAGCCCTAGATGAACCAGCCCCAGATGTACCAGCAGTAGTAGCAGCCCTAGATGTATCTTCATCAAGATATAGATTCTCGAAGGAGTCTTCCAACTATTGGTTGTCAACAGCATGTTGTAATCTTCTTTCTCCTAACTCCTAATCCTTTATGCAGGCTAGCATCTCCATAGTTTTAGACAACAAGCGTCATCGCCGCTCTTCAATTATCCTTATTGTCAAGCTGAAATATGATTCTGAAGAGACGGTAGAAATAGGAACATACATAATATCTCTAGCCATTATAGAAAGTATTGGATATGTTAGTTGT